GTAAAGTTTCCGATACTCGTATAAAGCTCTATACAAACTCAATAGACATTTGATGTGAATTCATGCATAGTATGAGTAATGTAAAAAAGTGAATAATGCATATAAAAACTTTGAAAATTATGCGATTATCGGGAACTTGATCACTGGATTATGACCAGACCACCTTTCCATAGATTATCAGACCCCGATATTCTTAATTTAGCATGGTAAACCTATATAATCATATAGGTTTTATTTATTTAAGAATTGTACAATCGATGACCCTACATAGTAAATATCAAAATCTTTAGTGTATAAAGTCTATGAGTTTAAGTTAAAAAGATATTCATATTTAGTTGTAAACAAAAAATGCTTGCAAGAAGCGAAAGATAAGCCTATATTAGTTAGGTATCATCCGATATATTGAACCAGATATACATTTAATTTATAAACTTTATAAGTAAGTTTTGGCCTTAATTGTATTTGGTTTATCGGTATCGTGGTCCATGAATTGATCTAGATCATAATCTACTCTAGCCTCAGGTATATCAGTTGATAGCACACATACACCACTATGATATGGTGCTATGTCTAAGCAAGCTACATTTTCGGCCCAGTCAATAACCTAAATAAATTTAAATTGATACACATCTTAAATAGCTAATTTAGCAAACACAAAATCTTACCTTGTTAAAATAATTTTCAGTGTGAGCCAGTTCAACGGGCATGCACCTGACCCAGGCTATTTCACGTACGCAATCAATATCGTCCCACAAATAGCAACATACATTTTCTAGGGGTGGGTGTGTGTGGGTACTTATATTCCACCTGAGCTTGGACACTTCATTGCACTCTAACCTAACGTCCCGTTTAATACTACCTAAACAGTCAATGGTTAGGGGGTCGGGTCGTGGGGCTCTAGGCGGGTCGATAGAGGGGGTAAACTCGGATATTACAGTATCGGTAGGTTCCTTGGTCATATTAATGTTAGTGTTATTGTTATCAAGGTTGATTGAAGTAAAGTTGTCTGGGACATCTAGGTGGCTCTTAGGTGGTTCATCGCTGTTTGTTTGAACTAGTTCAATTACAATGTCGGTATCTTCGGGAACATGTACGATCTCTGGTGATTCATTGGTATTAGAAGTAACAAGTTCAATTGTCATATCGATAGTCAAGTTATTATCTTTATTATCATCAGGCAATATGCATACATCACTGTGATATGGTGCTAGGTCACACCCAGCTCGCTCGGTCCAATTAATTAACTAGAAATAAAAAATTATAAAATATAAAATTTAATATATTGTTAATAAAACTAATAAACGTTGATGAATAACAATGATGCATAACAATAGTATTAATTGTTTGCTATAATATTTATAAAGCTACTGTTTAAAAAAATAATTTTTATATTAATTTAATGAAAATTTTAAAGTTTTGGAAGTTGTTATTTTTATTTATGTAACAATTGAATTTAATTAATTATAATTTATCTGACTGGTTAAGTAATACGTTTGTTAAATAAATGGTATTTACGAAAATAACATAAATTAAAACTCTTGTGACAAATCCGACCATTATATTATTTTTAAATAAATTTTCCTTATTTTTAATAATACAAAATATATCTCTACAGTTTTTCAATATCTATAATAAAATAACCTGGTTCTATTGTTTTAAATAATTATTTTTATAAAGTTTAAAAATACTATACAATACAAACCTTTCTAAAATACTCCTCGGTAACAGCCAACTCAATGGGCATACACCTGACCCAGGCGATTTCCCGTAAACAATCCAGGTCATCCCAGACTGAGCAGCATATATTTGTTAAATTATACGGGGGGTGACCTGTCACATTCCACTTGTACTCCGACACATTAGCGCACTCTAACCGGACATCCCGTTTAATATTACCCAAACAGTCAATGGCTAAGGGGGTAGGTAGGGAAGGGGTGGGTAGCTCCGGTATGTCCAGTTTGGACATCATAATGTTTAGGCATTGGGGGCTGTGCCTGGTGTGGGAACGGCAGGTCTCGTTGGCGAAGAAGCCCTCGACGTTCGCGAACCATTCGCTTAAGTCTTGCTTTTCTTGTTCACTGCAATCGGACTGTAAATGAAATGTAAATTAATTTATTTTATAATTAAACTAAATTTTGTAATTATATTTTGGCACAAATCAAAAACTGATTTCTATATTTTATATTATATTTATCTATGTTTACTTTGTTAATATTTTATTTAACTAACCCCATAACATTTTAATAATGTATTTTATTAATTTTTTAGCCATATTTATTTAAATTAAGTTTTTTGTGTAGTTTTATTAATATTTAAATTTAAAGGATATGGTCAGATTCGGCCTAAGCTGGCACCCGGGATATTATGATTAATTCTTATAGAAAATTTAACCCTGAGTCCGAATATGTCACGTATATTGTCCTGTGACCTCGGGTTAGGCCGCAGTGACCACTTTT